TGATTGTTGGGCTTTTCTCTGTATCTATGAAGCGCCTTGAGGCGACATTTGTTGTGATTTGGCGCTATATAAATAAAATTGAATTGAATTGAATTGAATGAAGTTATGTTTGAGAAGTGGTCTTTAGTAGTTTGTGAAAATCAAGTTGTAACCTTCTTCTAACCTTTAGAAAAGGCTCAAACTGAGATTCTAAGAAGCAACACTTTGTGCACTAAAACGGATTTATTGCATTTTAGAAGAAAAATGATCTGTTTGTTTTAGCGCATCTTAACACAAAACCTCTATCCATACTGATGCTGGTGTTACAGTAGGCTTTGCAATATTTAGGAAAATAAGAGTTTTCTTCTACAGTGGAAAACAATATTGACATGATAGTTCTTTTAATTACATGTTACATTTCTTATTACTGAAATCAACAGCGCTATTTCTGTAATATTTTATACAGAGACAGTAACTAAGACTGCCTCCGACGCTTACAGTCAGGAAGCTGAGATAGATCATGACATTTACCTGGACAATTTCAGGATCAGTGACTTTTAATACAATCGCCAGCGTTATTTGTACTAGGTGAGAGTTCAGGTTTAAAATATTGCCTTTTAAACAAGAAAAGTACCAGTCTGTACTGACTGCAAAATGATATGACAGTGGAAGGACTATGGAGATAAGAATGAGAAACCTAAGAAACATAATTTTTCAGATGTTTGTAAACAGAGCGTTGACTCGAAGAAACACCTGCAGCATACTGAGGCACAGAGCTTCTTCTTCACTTTGAGCACTGAGTAGTTTGTTGGTTTATTTATCTATTTACTCAGTCAAGAGTTGAAAATTTTGAACTTTGGGTAAAAAAAACAGTGCTTCTTGTGGTTGTCATGTTTCATCCAAAACGTCCAATCAAAGTGAAGAGGTGTTGAGAAACACTACATCAACACCTCATCAATCACACCACACTACATCGACCAAATGTTGCATCTCATTTGTGCATCCCAACGGAGATGGGATGCACAAATATTGGTCTCTGAGTATTCATGTCTGTACTACAACAATATTGCTATCAAAGTAATGCAACACATGACTTCCAAATATTGCAGACAAAGCATCTCAGTCAAAAAAAATCCTGCACCTCCTTTCAAATACTCTTAGCTGGGTATTTTCAGAAGAGGATCTGGCGTATCCAGCTGGCAAAATAGCTTTGTTAGACATGGCAACTTTGGGGAATACTCAGAGAACTCAAATTGCATCATGCTAGCTAGTCAAAAGAGCAAACTGAACATCTGGGGAAGCGATTCTTAGACAATCTGTCTAGCATTTCTTAGACAGATTGAAAAGAGGTGTTTCAGTAATGCTCAATTTGTTTTTTAGCATTAACCTATTTTGGCAGGAATCTATAATAATCTATAATAAAAGCATATTATTATGGACACTTTAACTTCGGGATAAAGGCCCATCTCTATTCTGTGTTTAGTCTAGGGGTTGTACTTAGACTGTGCACAGAAAAGTTATTCATACACCTAAAGAAGCACAAACATTGAGACACACCACCTTAGACATTTGCTCTGGTTTGCTGGTACCTTTAACACACAATTGCACACAAGTACACGTATCCAATTTTGCTGACATAAATAACCATACACTGTATGTAATTTCATATGCGAACCTAATAAGACTCTTTTAAACACTACATGGTGCATTTTCTAATTTCATGACTGAAATGTATACTTAAGTCTTGATGCACAGTGACCATGGTGAGGGCAATTCTTTGTAATTATTTACATAAAATGTCCTTTCCTTTTTCCTCCTCCAACCAACATAATTGATCCAACACACTTTCACATGTGCTGTTCATAATCACTGTGTGAAACAGTTAATTGGTTGCATATACAGAGCAGGGTAGGCTAATTAGCCCTTGTGGATATCATTGCTTCTATTCCTGGCTGTGTTCTTCCATTCAGATATTAATCCCATTGCCCTTATTCTAGCTCTGTGGTTGAAGAAACAACACACACAACAACACACAGGACATTTTTCTATACTAATGGAATAAAACAGGTTCTTGTTGTTGACATAAATGAGAAAGTAAATGACTCATATGAATATAGGGGTAAATAAATATGCAAATAGTAAGTTAGTGTCGCTGGTGGTTTTCCCTGATCAGCGAGCTCTGATGATCTACTTTAAAATGATAACTTCATCTTAAAAACTTCACACGATGATTTAGTCATGCTGAATCTTTCAAAAGCTCACTGTATCACTCAAGCCAGATGATAAAGCAAAAGCAGTTGTAATCCCTGATAATAATATAGACTCTTTTTCTTGCCTCCCATCTTTTTACTTCAAGGTAATCCCATTTCTTTATGTCTTAATGCAGTTAAAAATATTTGTAAGATTTTAAAAAAACAAAATAAAAACATGACTTTTTACTTTAAAGTTCAAATATAGAATCAATTTGCACATTCCCCAATGTCTTACAAAACAGCTCCACTGCCTCCAGTGCACTACCAATTAGTGTTAGTGAACTTGGGTGAAAAACTGAGTCATTTTTTCACAGTACTGAACAAACTCTACTGATAAGGCTTCTTGCTTGAAATGGCTCAACAAATCCCTGAAATATTGGTAGAATATCAGAACTGCACTGCAATCAATGATGCATTTAAAGAACCTAAGATGATTAAGATTTTGAAATTTCATCAATTAGAGATAGTGGGTATTTGTGTATGTTCCTTAACCTCAGGTCCACGCCTGGGAAATTGAGAGTTCTGTGCAATATGTTAGCTGTTTCTAAGACTGCACTCTTCTGGACAGAGACCTCTGATGTTGTATCTAGAAGCTGCTGGACCTACTCTTTCAGCTTGGGGGTTGTAGCGCATAACGCTCCTATTACCACTGGGACCACTTTGGACTTCACCATTCCACATCTGTTCAAGTAGCCTTCGGTACTTCTCCGTTTTTTTCTGTGCTCTTTCTTTCTGATGTTGCTGTCCCAGGGGATTGCCACATCAATCATAACTGTGGTCTTCTGCTCCTTGTCAACCATCTGAATGTCTGATTTGTTGGCCAGCAGCTGCTTGACTGTCTGGACCTTGAAGTCCCACAGGACCTTAGCTCTGGGGTTCTTAACCACCTTTGGCAGTATCTCCCATCAGGAGCTGGGAACTTCCATGTGGCATGAATGTTCCTCTATGATATCCCAGTAACTTGGTTGTGCCTCTCACTGTATAGTGTCCCATATTGAATTTTTTTATATTACAGCTATGTGCTCGAGAGTCTCTGGGGCATGTTTGCACAGCCTGCAACTTGGGTCCAGCCTGGTTGTTGCCTTACAAGAAAGTCTTTCTCCTTGGAAGCAAAATATGAAGAAATGAGGCTCAAGACTACAATAAAGCACTCTGCCAGCCAGTCCTTTTTCAGTAATGACCGTCTGTAGCTCCTTGCGGAGGGTGTTGATGACTGTGTGTACTAGAATAGACTGATTAGACCATATTCATAATGTGTGAAAAATAATTCACTGTAACTTAAAATTAAAAATTTTAATAATCTGAAATACTGCATTTCTATTTTTCATGACCTATAAGCCATAATCATCAAAACTAATTTTTTTTGATATACACTAGTATATATCTGAGATATATTGATTTCAAACAAAAATCATCGAATTCCAGAAGTGATCCTAGTCAACTTAGATTAAACTTGTTCCTGTGTAGCAGCTCTGACACATTATAGCCCCATATCACATTATCACATTGCCAGGATTGGGTTTGATAAATTTATGATTTATTTGTTTTTGGTCTGTCATTGATACACTGCAGATCCAAGATACAAATAAGTACCGCGGGCCTCGACAGTTTATTTTTGCTCACAAGCCTTTATGCATCTTTACACATCTAAGTCCTAAACTGTATTAAAAAGCAAATTTAACTATTTGTATTATTCATTTTATACAATCAATTAGGGTTTTCAGGCAATTTATGAATTTTGTCTATCGATTTATAAGTGAAAAATGTTTTGAGTTTTATGTATCATCGTCTAAAAGAGTTTTATTTCACAACCTCAGGAATATTTGAATGCATGCCATGATAATTACCTCATTTATTTATTTATATTATGATAACTGAAACGTCCTGGTATAAAGCATAAAATAATGTCCTGTTACATTTCTTATAAACCTTCCAAAACCACAAATAGGCATCATCATAATTAAAGACATATCACTTACACGTTAAGTGGCTGCCAGGCTGGCCACTGTGCTTTCATTTTGATGACTGTCAGGACTTCATCACCCTACAGGAGAAAGATAAATGCACACAGATTTAGTGTTAGTCTGCTGAAATTATCTAACATCTCACTTCAAAAAGACCAGTGAAAGACTTCCCACACTCTATGACTTGGATACATGGGATATGTGTGGTTAAATAGCTGAAAGCAACTTATCCATAGATAATATCTATACTATATAAAACTATATAAATGTATTGAAATTATTAGTAATTAAATTTTATGGAAATTGTAAAAGCATCGTATTTGATAAGACAGTTTGTAGAGCTTTTAATCTGTCAGTTACAAGAACTGCTATTGGCTCTGTTGCAGTTGGAACTCTCCACTCTCAATGACAACAACAAGAAATTACACATAAATGCATTTTGTTGTCATCTCTTTGTGTTCGGTTTTCTTCTAAAATATATTCTCTCTGTCATAAATACTGTAGATCCAATCTTAATTCCATCTGTGATGCTGTATCATATTAAGAAGGTTTATAACCTTTGCGTAAAATCCTCAGTCAGTCAGTTTTAAAACACAAGTTAACGGCACACTTGCAAATTTAAGGCGAAGTGTGAATATGAATATGAAGTCGAGTTATCACTTTTGAATTTGTAGGTTAGTTCACATATTGAAAAAGGTTTTGGTTTGTATTTATGCAAAAGGAAACATTTTTATTTTCTCAGGTGTTTTTGTATTTTAAAAAAAAGTCAGATAATAATGCAGCATCTCACATTACTACAACTTTGGTGTATTTGTTTTTATCTCGACCTTCAAAGGTGACTGAGGAGAAATGTTTTGGCCATCTAACTTTCCTGGCAGTAGGTTAGAACAAGAGTTTACCAGTTTGTAAACTAATGAGAAAAGAGCCAGCAAATATTGCTCTACGACCAATAGAAAAGCCAATAACACAACAAGCAATATTCAAGACTACCACAGTAACAAGGATCACAACTGCACAAGGCAAAAATGAACCCTTTTCTGACATTCTAGCCTTTTTGGAAGCTGGAAGGATACGTTTCAGCTTCTTTACCTGCAAACCCAGAAACAATAGAACCATATATTTTTAAAATAACTACACTTGAATGGTCACATGTACTCAGAGGGCATGATTCTTGGGAAAAGTTCCTTTGAACCACCTTAGTGCGTGGCCCTTAGGATGATCTGATATCGTCGTGTTGGTGTTGTTCCCAGATCATCATGAAAATGTTGTTCCAGGTTCAACATTGCAAGTGACCAATCACATTGTTGTGACGTTATTCTTTTGCGCGCCAAGCCAGTCGTGCATTTATGAAATTCCAATGTTGCAAGGACAATATCAATTCTGCTTACCGTTTATTAAAGGGTTAGGGTCAGGGTCCGTTGATCGGCGGACAGAGGCGGTTTCTCGCAGCTTAAGTACAGTTTTTTGTTTTACGGCGGTTTTTCCCAAAGTCGCAAAAGTATGACGTCACAACATTCTGATTGGTCACTTGCAATGTTGATCCTGGAACAACATTTACTATGATGATCTGGGAACAACACCAACACGACGATATCAGATCGTGCGTCAACTTAGCCTTCCACTTATTTGTTTGTAATTGAGCCATATACTGCACTGAATAAAAAAAGTGAAAAGGGATGGGGGGTTTTTTCCATATAAAAGTGTTAATGAAATGTCACAATGGAGAGCTGCATGTAAAAGGTAACATGCTGCACCTTTTCTAATATGAGCATCTTTTTTTTTTTTTTATTGTGAAAGGACCTTCTTTAAAAGAGAATGACAGGGGATGATATGATTAGATGTAATTGATGCCAAAATCTAAACCATTAGACTTTAAATGGGCACAATGTGTGCCTGTGGTCAGGAAAATATAAGAGCACTTGAAAATAAACTAGTAAATATAAAGTATCAGAGTTAATAAATTTCTGCAAAGAGTTTAAAAAAAAGGACAGAGTAGAATCTCAGTGGTATTCCCCCGGCCGCATCTTAGATAGTGGCCGTCTGTTGAAAGTCTTTTCAGGAGCAGTAAAGAGGATGTCATCTAATATTTCCCATCATTACTCAGTAATTGCCAGATACCCATCACTTAGGCGCTCTCTAGACATTTTAATGGAATGGATAAGTGTCATAATTAATAGGAGACATGTCAGTATCTTGTCCGCAAGCTATGAAGTAGCCTCAGGCACATCTGCCCCTGCCCTCGGTACTATTAATTTTTAATTTACCTATAATTGACATCACCGCTGACCTTATCTTCTAGTGAGTTTTATTTTATGCTAAAATGTTCCAGTTTTCTCACTTAGAAGTTACACAACATGGTGCAGAGTTGCAGTTGTTAATACACACATAGACAAACACAGACAGTTTCTTACAGTTTCTAAGTTGGCAATAAGTGAAAGTTCACAATATCCACAATATACAGTTTCTTTGCAACTGTTAAAAAAATACATGAATAATGTTTGAGTTTTAATGTTAGTCACATGAAAAATATGTAAAGCAAGAGCATCACACAAGCAAATAGTCTAAAGCACCTAAAGCACAACTCCTAGCAAAACAACCTTGGACCCTTATAGACTATGTCTGACATTGATATGAATTGCTCTTTTTGTAAAAAGAAAAAAAGGAAAAAAAAAAATGTTTTTATTCCCGTTCAAGAAGAAAGGAACCATCTGTCAATGCAAAATCCGAAAGGAAAGAAAAAAAAGAAAGGTAAAGGAGAACTGCTAACATCTGAGCCAAGCTACTGTAGCTTAAAGAACTGTTTATGTGTCTATCTTTTACTCTAAAAAGGGAAATAAAAATGTTTTATTTTGTAATTGCAGAAGTATTACTTCTGAATTACAGAGAGATCATCCATCTTCTGTTGTGTCTATCCAAGGGAGAAATATTTTTAATGTATTAGAAGCACCCATGAAAACAAACACTCCATACAACTTTGTTGCTAGCTTTATTGAGCAGAACAGAGAACACACATTTATTGGCCTAATGAAAAAAATCTGCAACAGATCATTATCTTGGCACAAAATTCCAAGAGTCTGAATTCATTTTTTAATTAACATGTATAACGTTGCACGGATATTTTTTTTCGATGTTTTCTTATTGAGTGCATCTACCATAGCTTGTCGTGCTGCTATAAGAAAATCTTTATCGCCTAAGCAACTGGTTACTGCAGCGTCTCTTTATGGCAGTGTCTCGAAAGACATAGAATATCATGCCATCATGTTTCTGCTTCCCAGATGGCTCTTCATAGAATTTATTAAGAGATGCTTTGATTTCATTACTGTCATCTTTTTTTCTGTTAATTTGTTTGTTTCTTTATAATATATAAATATAAGTTGTTTTAATGTTTTATGTTGCAGTTTTCCTGCTTAGAATACTGAATGTTATTGGTCAGCCTACACCACTAAAAGTGTTCTCACTGGAAGAATTATTTCAAATTTTTTGCTTTTCCTCATGTGTATGTCAGAGGCAGCCATAGAGGGATAGAATTTCAAAGATTCGGTGTAAGTAGACCTCCTACTGCCTAAATTGACTATATATCCAGTAATGACAGGGAAGTCTAAAGCTGAGCCCTATTACCAATGTAACTTGTCCCTTGCTTCCCCTGCAAACACATACAGTAGTTAGCTTTTCAGAGAACCTGTCATTTACCTCAACTAATTAAATACTGAGCAAAAGCAAACCTATAAATCTTTTGCCTTTCACAGGGTGGCAGCTGAGGAACAACTTCTCAGGAAGTCATTAGAATGGACTCAGAAAGTGTCTTTTCAATGTATATGTTTTAGTACAGAAAAAAAAGCAGTTACTAATAAATCCACAGCTCTTCCCTGCTCTCACATGTCACATGTCCAGTTCGAGTGTTTCCTCAAGTTATAAAAATGTCTATCCTGACAAACATGCAGAATTTCATTTTCCATCAATCTTTGCTAATGAGTAAGTAAAATGTATTTATAGAGCACATTTCACAGATAAAAATCACAAAGTGCTTCACAATGAAACCAGAAATTAAAAAAAAACCATAATGTAACACAATAAAACGACAACATAAAACAACAAATTAATTAAAGGCTTGTCTGTATAGAAATGTCTTCAGCTGTTCATTTAGGAAATACGATTTTTTTTCTCATCAGAATCAGAATCATTGAAATCTAACCCCATTACACTAACACATCATGTCATACAATATAGTTAATTCCATTAATGACTCATCATGTTGCGATAGCAGTCAGATGCTTCTGCCCAACAGGACAAACAAATCCAAGTACAAAGTGACATTTAAATTAAAATATTCTATACAATAACCAAACATTTCAATATGAAACAAGGGCACATTTGTCAATGTAGAGCTAGTAATTACTGTCAGTAACAATTTAATTAATTTTATATTTAATTCTTTTTATTAAATTAAATATTAATTTAATAAATATTGATTATATCATATATAATTAATACAACTAATTACTTAATCATGTGAGTTTGTCAAATGGGATTTGGAAATATGAAAAAGGAAAAAGAAGTGTTTTATATTTCTTATATAAATGTAAACATTTCTTTCATGGTCTTAAGCATTTGAAAATAGTTCAGATAATGCTTTTTTGCTCATGTTTATCAAGTCTAGAGTGTCTTTTTTTCTAATTATGTTACGGTTACGCATGCTCACAGAAGTGTAGCAGATTGACTTATTACTGCTGATGATCAGACTCTTCTGATATAAAAACGGTTTTTTTCTGACAGAAAAGTGACAGAATGTGAGAGTAGGCTTGAAAATGTAATATTTTGTTATTTTGTTTATTGTTTCACAACCTACTAACAAAAATTCAGTCAAATTAAAAACACAACTGTATTCAAAATCTCATGAATTATTCCTCGATTAAACCCGGATGGAGGTCATACTTGGGGTTAACGTGTAGTCTTTTGGTCAAAAACATTGTAATTATTTCGGGAAATCAACATATGGTCCTCAAAAAAGTGCAATGGCAAGGACATGCATGAATAAATAATAAATCTTTAATTTGCATTGGATTTTTCTCTTGACCC